GCTCACCAGCGACACGCCGCGTTTACACCAGCATGTTTCGCGCTCCCCAGTGGCACGGCGCCACGCAAACGCACTTCCCACCAAGGCCGCGCAAATCCGCAGCCCACACACTACAAGCAATCATATCACGCGATACCGCCAATCATCCCGCTCACCAGCGACATGCCGCGTTTACACCAGCGTGTTTCGCGCTTCCCGGTGGCACGGCGCCACGCAAACGCACGAGACTTCTTCCAAAAGTGAAGCGCCAAGTCTCCAAAACGAGCGTTTCGTAGGAGACTTCCTCCAAAAGTGAAGCGCCAAGTCTCCAAAACGAGCGTTTAGTACGAGACTTCCTCCAAAAATGAAGCGCCAAGTCTCCAAAACGAGCGCTTCGTACGAGACTTCCTCCAAAAGTGAAGCGCCGATTCTCCAAAACGAGTGTTTCGTACGAGACTTCCTCCAAAAGTGAAGCGCCGATTCTCCAAAACGCAATCTCACCTGCATTTCGCGCCCTCGACACGCACGATCTCCGCAGAGGGTTGCGCGCGACCAATCCAACACGCAATCTCACCTGAGTTTCGCACCTTCGACGCGCGCGATCTCCGCAGAGGGTTGCGCGCGACCAATCCAAAACGCAATCTCACCTGCACTTCGCGCCCTCGACGCGCACGATCTCCGCAGAATGTTGCGCGCGACCAATCCAAAACCCAATCTCACCTGAATTTCGCGCCCTCGACACGCACGATCTCCGCAGAGGGTTGCGCGCGGTCAGTCTCACCTGCACTTCGCGCCCTCGACGCGCACGATCTCCGCAGATCGAGGGTTGCGCGCGACCAATCCAAAACGCAATCTCACCTGAATTTCGCGCCCTCGACGCGCACGATCTCCGCAGAGGGTTGCGCGCGACCAATCCAAAAAAACGCAATCTCACCTGCATTTCGTGCCCTCGACATGCACGATCTCCGCAGAGGGTTGCGCGCGACCAATCCAAAACGCAATCTCACCTGCGTTTCGCGCCCTCGACACGCACGATCTCCGCAGAGGGCTGCGGTTCGTGGTGCTCCGGCGGCACCGCCCCCGGCCTTAAGAGAGAAAGAAAAGAAGAGCGACAGGATACGCATCAGATGTGAGATGTGCAGATGTGAAGATGTGACGATGTAGATGTACAGATGTGAAGATGTGCAGATGTGAAGATGAGCAGAGATGTAGATGTGCAGATGTGAAGATGAGCAGAGATGTAGATGTGCAGATGTGAAGATGTAGATGAGACGTAGTTCTACAGATGCTTCTTTACGAAAAACCATTCGCAGACGCTCTCGGCAAAAAACCATCTGCAAAGATGCCATTGCTATCAGGTTGGAGGCTATCGCTAGGTTGAGGCCATCGCTGGTAGAATCCAAATTTATCGGACCAAGTACCGTATTAATATTTCAAGTCCTGGTTTGCTTGAGACATGGCTTGTTCATTGAGGTTGGCTTCCATGGATGGAGTGGAAGTAGCCGTTGACCCTAAGCGCAGCCAGCACGCTTGCTACTTCGGATTTCTCAGCGATGTCTTGACACGGAAACGACCGCGCCGCGTCCACGGAGTTGATTGCCGAAGCAGTCGCGGCTCAAAGGTAGCTTTAGCGACTCGGAAACCCCAGACCCAAACGTCGGACCTTCGTTTATCGGTGTAGCGAAGAAATGCAGCTGCACCAGTTCTTCCAACCTTCCCACGGATTGCGCTCCCCGAGAATTGCAAGGGATGGGAAGGTGTCGAGTTGGAGTGTCAGGCACTGGGCAAAAACAAGCGGGTTTCGTGGAGTTTGAAGAAGTACTTCAACCTAATAGCCATGGCCTCCAACCTAATTACTTGCAATGGCCTCCAGCCTACTAGCGCGGGCCACTGTTTAAGCTTGAAACATAAAAGATCTGTACGTTGGACTTGTCACATGTCCGCTGTAGACGTGCGAGGTCACTTCAGAGTGTTGGCACTTCGCGACCTAGCGGTCGCGCCATGGGGTCTTGCTTCTTGGTTTTGGGCCGTGCCTTTGCACGGCGAAAGACGCAAAGCAGATGTAAGGGAGGAGGCAAAGAGGCAGAAAGTGTTCCAGAAGAACGACAGAGCACTCAGAGCACTGTAGTCAATGACATGGTGGAAGTCCCACAAGACGTGGGATTTCCCCTACCCGGAGTCTTTGAAGGACTCCCTCCACCCAGCCTTGCCAATGGGTGGACTTTGCTCGGAGACTTGGCGGCCTGTATCTTTGCTGCTCCTTTTCTTGCAATCTTGTCCCGGCTGGCGGGGGCATTGAAACCAGAGTGGTTTATGCACTCCGAGAACAACGGAAATGCCTTTATATTTCCCGAGGCTTCACATGGTGTAATGTTCTGGCTGTGCTGGTGTATAGGAGGACTTGTGATGAGAGCATTTGAAGCAGATGCGGTGGACTCTCAAGATTTGGTGAAAACTGTAAAGCGCACTGCACTCGCAGCAGAAACAAGCGGATTCCTTGCGAACCTGGTATGGTTATTCCTGCGTTTCAGTGGGAATCTGGAAAGTGCCTACACCATGACTGGGTATTCTGCATCTTGTTTGCGTTTAACAAAGCAGTCAAAGATATACTGTGTATTTTGGGGCTTGCCTTGGCGCCCGCAAAATTCTTGTGGCCTCCGCGGACATTCTTTTCACACTCTGACAATTGTATTCAGTTAACTCAGTTACCACGATGGGAAGGATGGCGAAGAACCGCAAGGTGAAAGGGTCAGCGCACTTGTATTGTTGAACAATCTGTTGTCATGTCGGCGGTGGCGAACGTCGACGCGGCTCAGCTGCAGTGCAAAGGGTGGTAGAAAAGGTTTGAGGGACGTATCATGAAGAACCATGAAACAAAACGTGGAAGAGTAGGGTAACAGCTTGTGAAAACTTCAGCAGGTACGTTCAGAGAGCGTCCTCTCTGAATATCGCATCCGATCAGCAGCGTCTTTGTTAGGCAGTGACTGCTGAAAGGATCACTGCCCCCCTGCCTGTGGAACTGGGGTTGAAAAGTGGTAGTGGAAGTGGCAGTAGGAAACCCTTTGCCCAGGGGTGGACACACACAGATCGCCGTCTTCGGCGCCCCTGCTGGTGGAAAATACTTTGTACAGAAAGCGCCAATATTGGCGCTGCGAAAAACTAATAGCCACCTAAAAAGCCTTAGAAAGACAGACAAAGCAAACAAAACAAAAGCAGACTAAGAGGGCAAGAAAGAAAGATAGGGGAAGTTACGAGGCCCACTTAGTTAAATGAAAGTAGAGCGCGAGCGGGACATTTGTCTTAAACCGCCCGGGTAGCTAGCAATAGGCTAGGAGAAACAGAAGGAAAGGCACCAACACACAAGTGTGTTGAGTGCGATTTCCTTCTGTTTCCCGAGTAGCGGGTGGGGTAGCAACGGAGGCCCAGGGGTAGGGAGGGGAAAAGGCACGGTTAATTCATCCGGCCTGTGAATACTTAGCAGCACATGCACATGTGAATACTTAGCCGTCAAACATCTCAAAAAAGCAAGTGTTGCAAAACTGTCAGTTCCCGTGATGAGGCTCGGCAGCCTTTGTGTCAGTTAATTCAGTGGTTGTGTCGGTGACTTCCGGTGGAATTCCCGTGAAAAGTGGTGAGGTCAGTTAATGCTTGCGCGATGAGACAGCGCCCCAATGACGGGGATCACACTCAGCACCCGAGTGGGACAGCTGAGCGAAACACACGCTGACAATTGTATTCAGTTAACTCAGTTACCACGATGGGAAGGATGGCGAAGAACCGCAAGGTGAAAGGGTCAGCGCACTTGTATTGTTGAACAATCTGTTGTCATGTCTGCGGTGGCGAACGTCGACGCGGCTCAGCTGCAGTGCAAAGGGTGGTAGAAAAGGTTTGAGGGACGTATCATGAAGATCCATGAAACAAAACGTGGAAGAGTAGGGTAACAGCTTGTGAAAACTTCAGCAGGTACGTTCAGAGAGCGTCCTCTCTGAATATCACATCCGATCAGCAGCGTCTTTGTTAGGCAGTGACTGCTGAAAGGATCACTGCCCCCCTGCCTGTGGAACTGGGGTTGAAAAGTGGTAGTGGAAGTGGCAGTAGGAAACCCTTTGCCCAGGGGTGGACACACACACACATATATATATATATTTTTTTTGTTTCCAGACCACGAGCATGTGCCCCTTGCAGGCACCACCACATGCCATTCCTACCTATGCTGACTTCTTCATTGACTTACAATTCCAGGCGAGGCAGATGAACATTCCGAAGCGAAAAGCCGTAGAGCAGTAAGCCGGAATCGTAGAGTCGAGTGTTGGGTGCCTTTGTTGGGATGGCATAATTTGTGCACAGTAGTTGTCTTCTTGGTTCTGAGCATGGAGCTGGTGTGCAGGTCTTGCTGCTAGTTATTTGGCGTTTCACTGTTGCAGTTCTTTTCGCGGAGCGACCTGTGCCCGAGCAACTCTGCCAAATTCTGGTGTCCAAGACTTTTATGTACATTATGTTTTGCCAACCAAATGCGGGCAATGGGTCATTGGTACACCGGCTGAGAGTTCCCACAGATGTTGAGGCGTGAAGAGGTCAACGTGGACACCCGATTGCTTGTGGGAGACTTGCTGGCCATAGGCCTGATAACACCGGCAGTTATCATCGAAGTTTATTTCAAGACGAAGGCACAGACTTGACAAGGTTCAAAAAACAATGGTGCGAAAGGCAAAGCATTGTTGGGAGCTAGAAGTTTGTTTGCCAAGGGCTGGCAGTCAAGAGGTAAGGGCATTGATGGTCAAAGGTTTTTACAACCCTGATCAGAAGTACACTCCTTTGTGGACGGACTTCTGGGATGTCACTGACTATGGCATTGGAAAGCCGATCCTTGCACATGGCTTCGTTCTTGCGCTTTGTTGGTTGGTGGGGGCTTTTGTTGCTGGCGCCTATTCCAAGGATGCCACCGCACCGAAGCTTGACAAAAAGCAAAGGCAAGCGGCAAACCTTTCTCAGTTTGCTATTTTCGGATACTATGTTCTCCACATTTATAGCATTTTCGGGCTGCCATTATGCAAAGAGCAATGGACTAGAGTCTAGAGTCTGTGATTGGAGTCAAGGATCGACCAATCTGTGCTCCTAAAGCGACTTTGGACAGCTGGAGTTCTTGCCACTGTGCTCCTTTTCCTTTGCAACGTGCTGAGCATGACCTTACTCGAATCCCCACAAGTCCTTACAGCCTTCGACCCAGCGATCCTTGTTCGTATTTCCAGAATATGTTTTTTCTATTTTATTGAGATTTTCTCAGATCAAAAAGTATTCGTTGAGAAACCTGCTTTAGACTTTGGCAGAGGTTACAAAAGCGATTATTTGATTTTGCGAACGACGTGCTGTTTGCTGCGCTTTGCTTAACCCCATGGCGGCTCTATTTTGGCGGATACATCTAGAATCTAGTGCCACCCGTGTTTGTTTGCTGTGGTGCAAACGTAAGATCCTGTATCACCCTGTGTGCGAGAGAAAAGATAACTCCGGTCTTGATTCACAAGGAACAGTTGAAGCGATTGTGGCAATACGTTCTTGCTGTATAATACATGGGCTAAAGTTAGGGTCTCTGCCTGTGTCAGGGTAGCTGCCTATCATGGCAACAAGCCCACAGCCTATGGCTTAGTGAAGCAGAAGCAGGCAGCGGCATGAGCAAAGATCGCAGGTATTTGTCCGAATTTTGGTGAATTACTGAGGTGGTCCGACTTAAGTGAGCAAGACCACCCAAAGTGAGGGTGAGAGCTTGCCAACTGGATTAGATGAAAAGACTTGCCCGATCCTTCAACATTTTGTTTCATATTGCCAGTGCAGCTGGGGCCATAGCTGCTGCAAAGGTGCTGCCTGTCAGCCGCTGGCATTGGCCCGAGCATTAGCATTGTGAATCAATGAGATGCTCACACCAAGAACCATCGGTTCTCGAAGAGACACCAAGATAGCCCCAAGCCCAATTTGTTGGTGTTTGCAAACAAGGTTTCTAACACACACACACAATGCTGTGCAGAAATGAACACGCAAATTGATTTACCGATAGGACATCTGATCACCGCAGTAAGCTGCCTTAAGGGACGATTCGAAGAACACTCCAAGACTGTGCAGCAAGTTTTATGGGTTGAGATTAGATGAAGCATGGCCCCTGGCATGCCATCCCAATCAGCAATCTGCCAGGCCTGGAATGACAGCCTGTTAATTTCATTATACAGCATACTAGGTGCTAGGTGCTAATTACATACTTGCTTTAGTGACCAAGGATGGTACTGCAAAAGGCCTGTGGGCAAGTCTGTGTTGCCAGTCAGTTTGTTCTACTTTCAAGTTCAATGACATTTGTGATGTAGACATTTCCAACGCAACTGCACGTTTTAAATCTCAGGCATTTGGATCCTCCTGACGCCATCGAAACAGCTGCAAGACTTCATTTTGAAGGCGCTCATGCTCAGATTTAATTTTGTTCGCTATTAGGTTGGAGGCCATCGCTATTAGGCAGGAGGCCATCGCTATTGGGTTGGAGGCCATTGCTAGTAGGTAGGAGGCCATCGCTTGACTACCCCTTACTTACTAATCCATAGCACGAAGCCGATGCTATTTCCTTGATTTGGAGAGCTTACTCCTTGATTGGACAAGGGCTGTGTTTATCTCTGTTTCCTTCAACTTGATTTGCCAGGCCTTAACAAGAAGGCACGCACCTTGTTGTCAGTTCTGTTGAAATACAGCTGGTCAGCGTAAGCTGGACAAGATCTCATTTATGCACTAGCTTGGACAGTCTTGGACATGGCCGAGAGACTTGACATGTCTCTAAGGCAAGCATACAGAGTCGAAGTGTAGCAAAGAAAGCATTCCAAAGCAGCAGCATTCTCAATCGAATTCCAAGGGGCAATGTCGATTTCAGATTATTTCTTGTAGCGTAAGTTCCTCGTTTCAATATGGAAAACCTGTGGACATTCCAATGTTCACCAACTGCTGCGGATTTCGTGCATTTCGGAGGTCTTCGCCCCATGCCTTGGCCATCTCCAGTCTACTTCAGGACGATGTGGGTTGGACGACAGGTTTGGTTTGGTCAGCTCTGTTTGGGTGTGGGCATCGTGCGGGGAGGGACATAATGACCCCAACATGAACATCATGAGCTTTAATTGCAGAGATTTGCTTGGATTCTTTATTTCAATTTATGCTTCATGACCCCTTGGTACAAGATGACGAGAGCATTTGGAAGCAGTACTTTGTGTTGCGAATCCTTGGAAGAACAAACTGTTTGTCGCCGCAGATCCTGATGCGCCCCATGGAAAAGTGCTGACCGAGCTCTTCGCTCTGGCGGTCGGCCTGGGTCAAAAATTCTTGAGAGAACTTGTGTAGACAAGCGTATAGAAGACAAACAGACATGAACAAGAAGGTAAGTGTATAGAGGACGCTACTAGGAGCAAAGGGCATCGCTACTAGGAGCAAGGACGCTACTAGGAGCTTTTTCAAAGGGGCTTTTTCAATCGGCCGTTACCTTCCATGCTATCCATCAGCATGGCAGTTGATTTACGCTCCCAACAAAGCGCTGGCTTGAATGAGCTGTTTTGTCCTTCCAGATGTCTCCAAGTCAGTTGTCCATTCACTTATATACTTTATATATATATATAAATAGACCACCGATTGAACATGCTTGTGATACAGCAAGTCCCGTTGCATATCTCAATCTTTCTTTCCAGCTTCACCCACATCGAAGCAAGCTGATACTTTACGGGAACCTGAAACCAAGCCTGAGCTAAAGCTCTATAAACAAGAAGACTAACTATATTAAAGTTTGACGCATGTTGATGGTAAAACTTTACCCTGCAGGATTGCCACGAGGAGGAAAAGTCGGTAGTGTTTGGCCTGGCTCACTCCTGACTTGCTTGCACTAGCGATTGTAGGCGCAAGCATGGTGCAGTGTCAGCGAAAAAGGCAAGGGCCACCCTGAGGTTTATGCAATGCTTTCCATCAACTGGGACCGAAAGTCAACACCAGGCACTTTGCAGTGATTCCCTTCATCATGATTTGGACTGTTGGCCACCGGGACGCAGCTTTGAGCTTGTTGTCAAGGCTACTATGACTATTTGAATCTAATGCGGGTGTGCTGTCCTCAGATCGCATGGTTTTTGCAGTGAAGACGTAGCTGTAATGTGCTGTAGTACTGTAGCTAGTAGGTTGGAGGCCATCGCTATTAGGTTGGAGGCCATTGCTATTACGTTGGAGGCCATCGCTATTAGGTTGGAGGCTGTTGCTATTAGGATGGAGGCCATTGCTATTAGGTTGGAGGCCATCGCTAGTAGGTTGGAGGCAATTGCTATTAGGTTGGAGGCCATGGCTCTTGGGCTGGAGGCCATCGCTAGTAGGTTGGAGGCCATCACTATTAGGTTGGAGGCCATTGCTAGTAGGTGGGAGACCATCGCTAGTAGGTTGGAGGCCATCGCTAGTAGGTTGGAGGCCATTGCTATCAGGTTCGAAGCCATCGCTGGTAGGTTGGAGGCCGTCGCTATCAGGTTCGAGGCCATCGCTGGTAGGTTGGAGGCCGTCGCTATTCGGTTGGAGGCCATTGAGTTGCTATTAGATTGAGGCCATCGCTAGTAGGTTGGAGGCCATCACTTTGCTGGAGTCATGTAGCTTGGCACACTGCCGTAGAGGCTGGACAACTCTGACATTGTCGTGCGTGAGCTGGGCTCAATGTCAAGAGTTCAACAAGTTCAGAGCAAAGGAGGAGCATTTGAGACCATATTGATACACATATTTTGATCTGTCTTCAAGATTTGTCAGACACATATTTTTGTACTCGTTTCTCATATCTTCGGAGACAGCTCCATTTGAGGCCTTGACCTCAATCTCTGGTCGCATCAGCGATGTGCAGAGTGCAGTGAGGCTCGGTATACCAAATCTTTGAGCAAACTGCTACTCATGGCGTTCGTCCATGCCCCACTCGAAGCGGCTGAAGGGAGCGGCTGCTGTTGCTCTTTGGCGACATGGTACCTGGGTAGCATCGCTGATCAACACCAGAAATGCACTAAAATGAGGATTACCCTCTTTCAACACGAGAAGGAACTTTGCATTCCAAGGTTTATGCAAATTGGCCAAAGGCAGCTGGCCGTATGGTTCAAATGCAAGGGGTTCGGGGATCAGCTTGGCTCACATGGAGTGAATAAAAACAAACATAACACACATAGACATAATAGTAATAGTAATAGTAGTATTTACCAGGCTACCGCCTGCAGCCGCCGACCCCAAGGGAAAATGTAGTGGCAGGGTTGGGTCCCGGGATGGTCGCGGGCGGGGTCCTGCCAAAATCTAGACAAAGCCAAGAGCATTCCTACGAAAATGCTGGAAAAGCCGTATAGGCATGAGTACAACAATGGAATCAAATAGGTTAGCAATAGGTTAGCAAATAGGTTAGCAATAGGTTAGCAATTTTTTGGGGAAATCTGGGAACCCAAAAACAAGAGGAAATACCACAAAAACCCTTGAAACTCCTAGAAATCCAGCGGACAACGTGACAAAATCTAGAAAAAACCAAGAGCAAAAATGCTGGAAAAGCCTTTGAAAATCCCACAAATCCAACAGAAACCGTGACAAAATCTAGGAAAAATCAAGGGCATTGGCCGGGAACACGCCGCGACCAGCCCGGGATTCGAGCCCAGGACCATTTTGGACCGTGCTTATTTTCCCGCGCGGGTGGAGAGGGTGCCCCAAGATGTAAATCAATTGGGATGGCAGAATCTTGGACAATCCAGGTCGCAATAACGTCACACTTTCGTCACAATCTGGGCGGATTCCGTCACTGCAACAAGGGTCCGGAGGGGTAGGGGAGGTAAGGTCTAAGTCTAAGGCTAAGGCTAAGTCTAAGGCTAAGTCTAAGTCTAAGGCTAAGTCTAAGGCTAAGGCTTAAGGCTAAGGCTAACATCAACAGTCACGCCTCACCCCACGGTGTGGGGTCGGCGGATTACTAAAAATCTAAATATACATACATATTTATATTGTGTGTAACAATGTACCATGCTGAAGCACTAGCTCAACTTTGCATTTTGTGTTGGTATCAACTTGAGGGCAGTACGCAAGTACGCAAAGCTGAGATTGTCAGGCTGAATCAATCTTGTTGGCTTTGCAGAGGCTTGGAGTTTTGGATGTCTTTTTTGAACTGGTGTGCGACTGTGGGATCAGCGTTTGCATATCTTCAGCGTACAGGTTATGGAGTACAAAAGATCGACATATGAACAACTTGGCAGTCTTGATGCACACGACGTAGCTATGTAAACCTGTAGCTCTGGTGACTCTGGTGCTGGTGGAAACAGAATACTTTCGGGTGGCTTTAGGGTTGGTGAATGTGCTGTTGACCTACCCGCAGAGGTCTATCTAGTCAGAACTAGTCTATTTTTAATGCAGTTCCAAATTCCATTGCCCAGGGAGAGAGTCATGGTGCCTCAAGGAAGGTTTTGCAAGGTCCCTACTTCCAGTAGGGTTACCACAAGGTAAAGTTGGTGTCTCAGGCAAGGTGTCAATCAGCCTAGGCTTTGATAATTAAGGTCAGCCGTGAACACTCCGCAGCACGGGCACCAGAATATGCACCGAATGCAACACTGCCACATATGGTCAATTGCCATCGTATAACTTGTTTATGATTGGGGAAACCACTTGGTCCATGAGATGAATCATTTCGGCCATGTCGGTCGGGTATGCAGGGCAGCAGCTCCAGGAAATCTTTGGCCTGGCGCAGTCGGCACCCAAGTGCAGCCACACCTTCACTGTCAGCAGTAACACAACAAGCAGCGAGTGTTCTCGGATTGATTTTCCCAAGCGGCATGTTTTACAGAACTCCTAACTCTTTACCAAACGCGAGACTTTATTGAGCATTGATGCCTGTGTCTTTGTTACTCCCTTCATCGTTGGGGATCTATTTTGCTTCAACGTCAGTCAACATGTCGCGCGCCCAGGCTGCTCAAGTGTTGCCAACAATTGTGTAGCCCAGTCAGTCTGTGACGCCCTCACCATGTCGGTAGTCGACGGATTGCCGTTTGCAGAGGAGAAGAAGGAGTACGTCCTCCAGATTCTTGATCCGATTCTGGAGGAAATGGTCAGTGACTTGGCGAAATGGAAGGCATTTTTGCCAAATCCCTCGAGTCAAAACAAAAGGTGCATACGTTCTGTTGTAGCTCAAAGTTCCGCCGGGATGCAACGAGCTTGCCTTACTTAGTTGGGATTGTATTGGTAAGGGAAGGCAGGAGGGAGGGAATGCAGGAAAAAGAAAACCAAAGATCTCCTGGCGACACTTTCTGAGTGGTGGTGCCTTCATGCAGACTGATTGAAACAACCAATTTCTAGATGCTACGGGGGTTTCCCTTGAGTTGTTTGACCTTTTGTTCATTGGATTGATCGACGCGTGCGGCGTCATGTGAGCCGGTCATGTGAGCCGTAAACCTTGTGAGGAGAGCACACCCCAAACCCCAAGAGCGATGACTGACCCAGTATTTGCCTTGGCTTTTGACTTCCTTTTGTACACCTTGATGCACTTTGCCTGCCCCCGAAACTCTGGGAAACCAGCAAGCTGTGGTTTTGATTCTTGCTTGAGCCAAGACAAAAAGTGATACTCTGGGACCTATGTAGCTTTAACCTAGGTGATGTCCTCGCAGAGATGCCAACCATCCCAATGGACTTCATGATCCAATGGCTCAACAAGCGTGCTGGAAAGGCAGCAGCCTTCAGTGAGCATGTTTCTGTGTCACAGAGGACTTTTGGGGTCGGGCAGTTTTACGCATGACAGGAATTGCGTTTACGCAGTTTTTGCTGTAGAAAAACATATGTTCTACATTTTGTGCGGGAATGCTTTTGTTCTTGTATGGCATGGTGTGCGCTCTCATTTGGCACTGCCATTTCACTGCGTGCAAGTTCTCCAAATGACACGCCCACCATCTGTTTGTCGGTTTGGAGACAAACTTCTTGGTGTGAGACAAGACGATACTTTTCGCACACCTGCCATTCTTTGAATGCTGAAAGGTTGCACGTTTGTCTACATTCTTGAGGCTGTAGGTGACACCAAACTTCCTCTAGAAGCACTCAGTGCAACCTGCCTGTAGGAACCGTATTCTGAAGCAAGAGCTGCGCTCGCTGCAGGGATCCTTGCACGAGGCGAGCACAGCAGCAGCCTCTGCCCAAGATGATGTACCGGACGAAGAGGAAGAGGAAGATGAGGAAGATGATGAACCCCCTGCTGATTGGTTCAAGTCCGAGGACAGATCGAAGAGAGAAAGAGAAAGAGAAAGAGAAGGAGAAGGACAAGGAGAAGAGAAGAGAAGAGAAGAGAGGAGAAGAGAAGAGAAGAGAAGAGAGGAGAGGAGAGGAGAGGAGAGGAGAGGAGAAGAGAAGAGAAGAGAAGAGAAGAGAGGAGAGCGCGAGAGAAAGAGAGAGAGAGACATAGATAGATAGATAGATAGATAGATATATACATAGAGAGAGAGAGAGAGATAGAGAGAGAGAGAGAGAGAAGAGAGAAGAGAGAAGAGAGAAGAGAGAAGAGAGAAGAGA